CCACTACGCCCTACACGCCCACTGTACGCCTCTACACGCCCCACTAGCACGCCCTCTACACGCCCACTGCACGCCTCTACACGCCCACTGCACGCCACTACACACGCCACTACACCTCTGCACGCCCTCTACACGCCCACTGCACGCCTCTACACGCCCACTGCACGCCTCTACACGCCCACTGCACGCCACTACTCGCTCTCTACACGGCCACTACACCTCTGCACGCCCACTACGTCGCGCCCTCTACATGCTAAATCACCCATATGGATTAGATATAGATGGATAGATAGATAGATGGATTGATATATAGATAGATAGATGGATAGATAGATAGATATATAGGTAGATAGATGGATAGATAGATAGATATATAGATAGATAAATGGCTAGATAGATGGATATATAGATAGATAGATGGATAGATAGATGGATATATAGATAGATAGAGAGATAGATAGATGGATAGATAGATAGATAGAAAGATAGATAGATAGAGAGTTAGATGGATAAATAGATAGATAGATGGATAGATAGATGGATAGATGGATAGATAGATGGATAGATGGATAGATATGATAATAAAATAAGGCTGGTCTCCCCCGTAGGGTTGAGTGAGCCAAGTGTTAAAGAAAACGGGACGCTATTGTGATGATGGTCTAGTGTAAGGTCGCCATGTTGTATGTCTGTGTGTAGCGTTGGTTGTGTGTGTGTACAGGTATATGGACACACACATGATTACGTACACACACATATGATTACGTATAAACACATACACACACACACACATGATTACATACACACATGCATGGATACACACACATGATTACGTATACACACATACACACGCACACACACACACGCACACACACACACACAAACACACGGTATCCAAGGAACAAATTCCAGTTTACATGAACCCGGATTCGAATGAGTGAATCCAGGTTCGAAACAACGAATCCGAGTTCGAAGCAGTGAATCCTATATATCCGTTCTTGTGAATCCGGGTTCGAAGGAGTGAACTGAAGCGACAAATTATACAGATAATTGCCCGCTGATTACCTATAATTAAGGACCGTCGACTGATGATTATTGAGGGGAGAGAGAAAGAGAGAGAGGGAGAGAGAGAGAGAGAGAGAGAGAGAGAGAGGTGAGGTGTGAGGAGAATTAAAATTAGGGGATGGGAGAGAGAGAGAGAGAGAGAAAGAGAGAGAGAGAGAGAGAGCAACTACAACAATCACCACCACCATCAACCACTACTACTTACAGTAATCACCACCATTTAAATCACATCTAATTACTCTATAATATCTCCCCTAATTACCTTACTAATCACCCCTCCGTGACGTCATATCTACAAGGTGAACGAGGCTCTGATTGGCTGTTCAATGGTGTGTTTTGATTGGCTGTTCAATGGTGTATTCTGATTGGTGGCTGTTCAACGGAGTTCATTGATTGGTCGATAAGACTTCTGTGGGTAAATATAGTGAGAGAGAGAGAGAGAGAGAGAGAGAGAGAGAGAGAGAGAGAGAGAGAGAGAGAGAGAGTTGCCACAATACAATATTAACACAACCAACAACAATCTTCATATATATTTTTCATTCTCTAAATATTTCGATAGAATTTGTAACTAAATTTAAAATCTCGTTAAAAACAAATTAAAAACAAATAACTTTAAAAACACAATAAAAAAAAGCCTCATCTGGCAACATTTTTTCCGAACAATTAAAGTTTATTTGCTTTTTCAACCAATGGCAGAGCGCAATTATGTCAACAATCTATGACGTCATCAACCTGCATGACGTCACTGAGATGACGTCATGGGACTACTTTGTGATGGCAGATGTAGATTTCATCCAATTTTTACACTACGTAACCCAATTTTTGACGCCTCTATCCATCTAGCCTTCCCTATTTAGCCCTATTAGATATATCTATTACTTATCCTCTGTTATTTTCCCCTATTTTAATCTATCTATCTACCCACCTATCCATCCTATTACCTATTCATATCACCAATTCCTACACCTCAATGAACCATCATCCCAATTCCAGATCTGCCAATTACTACTGCAATTTACTTCGTATTTTTTTTACCTATTTTAGTCAATTACTTCCAGACCAATTTTCAACTATTTAATTCATCCTATTTTTATCTCATCTAATATTAACAGTAAACTAACGTAATCTAACCTAACCTAACCAAACACTAACCCCCTATCAAACACTAACTTAACCTAACCCACCACACAACCACAACCAATCCACCACACAACCACACCACCACACCACCACCCCACCACCCCACCACACAACCAATCCCACCACACCACCACCCCACCACACCACCACACCACCACCCCACCACACAAGCACCCCACCACACCACCACACAACCATCCCCACCACACCACCACACAACCACCCCACCACACCACCACACCACCACACAACCACCCCACCACACCACCACCCCACCACACCACCACACAACCACCCCACCACACCACCACACCACCACACCACCACCCCACCACACAAGTACCCCACCACACAAGTACCCCACCACACCACCACACAACCACACCCCACCACACAAACCACCCCACCACACCACCACACCACCACACAACCACCCACCACACCACCACCCCACCACACACAACCACCCCACCACACACCACACCACACAACCACCCCACCCCACACCACCACACCACCACACAACCACCCCACCACACCACCACACCCCACCACACAACCACCCCACCACACCACCAATAAACCACCCCACCACACCACCACATCAAATCCCACCCCACCACACCACCACACCACCACACAACCACCCCACCACACCACCACCCCACCACACAACCACCCCACCACACCACCAATAACAACCACCCCACCACACCACCACACAACCACCCCACCACACCACCACACCACCACACAAACCACTCCCCACCACCCCACCACACAACCACCCTCCCACCACACCACCACACCCCAACACCACACAACCACACCACCACACCACCACACAACCACCCCCACCACACCACCACACCACCACACAACCAATTCCACCACACCACCACCCCACCACCACACCACCACACAACCACCCCATTCCAACACCAATTACAATCTTTTACACAACCTATAACCTCAGGTAATCTCATCAGCCAACCCCCTGCCTACACCACCACACAACCACCCCATTCCAACACCAATTACAATCTTTTACACAACCTATAACCTCAGGTAATCTCATCAGCCAACCCCCTGCCTATTTCTCACCTATTACCCACTGCCTATTACCGTCTCGTGATGGCGTAACACTGAGCTAAAAAGAACTCCCTTGATCTGATTAGTGACTCGAGCGATTTAGTTTTGGACGAATAAATATTGGCTGTTGGTTAGTGAGTTATTTCCGGGTCCCAGCTGACGAGATGAGAGAGAGTGAGAGAGAGTGAGAGAGTGAGAGAGAGTGAGAGTGAGAGAGAGAGGAGAGAGAGAGAGAGAGAGAGAGAGAGAGAGAGAGAGAGAGAGGAGAGAGAGAGGAGGAGAGAGAGAGAGAGAGTAGGTAGGTGGATGTGACAGGAGAGAGAGTAGGTAGGTGGATGAGAGAGAGAGAGAGAGAGTAGGTAGGTGGATGAGAGAGAGAGAGAGAGTAGGTAGGTGGATGAGAGAGAGAGTGAGTGAGAGTAGAGAGAGAGAAGAGGAGAGACAGGTATATCTATCTATCTTGGCTGCCCTTATTCCTCAACTCTCTCTGTCTCTCCCTCTGTCTCTTTATCTCCCCTGTCTGTCTCTCTCCGTCTGTCTCTCTCACTTCATTTCTCCCTCCCCCCCAGCAGACCTTCGCCTGAGGGCCAGTCAAACGGGACGCCACAGGCCACTCTCCTCTCTCAGCCTCTCTCCCTCCTCACTCTCTCCCTCTCACCCTCTCTGTCTCACTTCTCTCCCCTCACTTCTCCTCCTCACCCTCTCTCTGTCTCTCACTCTCTCCCTCTCCTCACAGCATCCTCCCCCTCTCAATCTCTCTGTCTCTCACTCTCTCCCTCTCTCACACTTTTCCCATCCACCTCTCTGTCTCTCACTACCTCCCCACCCTCTTGTCTCTTCACTTCTCTCCTCTCTCTCACTTCTCTCCCCTCTCACCTCTCTGTCTCTCACTTCTCTCCCCTCTCTCTCACTTCTTTCCCCTCTCACCTCTCTGTCTCTCACTTCTCTCCCCTCTCTCTCACTTCTTTCCCATCTCACCTCTCTGTCTCTCACTTCTCTCTCCTCTCTCTCACTTCTCTCCCCTCTCTCTCACTTCTTTCCCCTCTCACCTCTCTGTCTCTCACTTCTCTCCCCTTTCTTTAATTCTCCTCTATTTCACTCTTTCTCCCTCTCTCTCTCCCTCTTTCTCTCACTTCTCCCTCTCTCTCTCTCTTTCTCTCCTCTCCCTCTGTGGTCACATTTAGGGCTAAAAGACGGTGATTGGTGGATAGAATATAAGTAACAATAGAATCTCGATTATGATTGGAGGATACAAAAAGGGCAATGGAGACCAAGGACTGTGATTGGCGGGAATAAGTAGGGGGTAAATGCGTTCTTGAAGATGATTGGTGGAGATAATATGGTAAAAAGTGGGTCCTGGCCTGTGATTGGTGCATTTATCTTTAGAAAACGGGAAGTGGGATGTGATTGGTGAATTTATTTATAGAAAACGGGAAGAGCTTTGATTGGTAGATGGAAAAGAATCCTGAGCTCTGATTGGTGGATGAAACAAAACACCGAACTGTGATTGGTGATAATAGTAAGAACCTAGGCTGTGATTCGTGGATGAAACAAGACACTGAATTATGATTGGTAGTCATAGTAAGATCCTGGCCCCTGATTTGTGGATGAAACAAAACACTGAACTGTGATTGGTGGATATAGTAAGATCCTGGGCTGTGATTGGTAAATGAAACAAAATACTGGGCTGTGATTGGCTGACTCACCTTGTGTCTGAGAGGCGGGGGAAGCGGGCGACCCCCACGCTGACTTGTAGCTGGGGTCTGTAAAGGCAGAGAAACACTGTTAGTATGTCTTGTATACTGTGTCTGTCTGTATGGCTGTATGTGTCTGTCTGTGTGTCTGTATGTGTCTGTCTGTGTGTCTGTATGTGTCTGTCTGTGTGTCTGTATGTGACTGTCTGTATGGCTGTATGTGTCTGTCTGTGTGTCTGTATGTGTCTGTCTGTGTGTCTGTATGTGTCTGTCTGTGTGTCTGTATGTGTCTGTCTGTGTGTCTGTATGTGTCTGTCTGTATGGCTGTATGTGTCTGTCTGTATGGCTGTATGTGTCTGTGTGTCTGTCTGTATGGCTGTATGTGTCTGTCTGTGTGTCTGTCTGTCTGTGTGTCTGTATGTGTCTGTCTGTATGGCTGTATGTGTCTGTCTGTATGGCTGTGTCTGTCTGTCTGTGTGTCTGTATGTGTTTGTCTGTGTGTCTGTATGTCTCTGTCTGTATGGCTGTATGTGTCTGTCTGTGGCTGTGTCTGTCTGTCTGTATGGCTGTCTGTCTGTATGGCTGTGTGTCTGTATGGCTGTCTGTCTGTGTGGTGTCTGTGGGCTGTGTTTGTGTGGCTGTGTCTGTATGTCTGTCTGTCCCTCCCTCTCCGTCCCTCCCTCTCCTTCTCTCACTCCCCCTCCTTCTCTCCCCACACAAGACGTGCTGGGCGTCGAACTGAGATAACTAAATTAGATTCGCCTTGTTGGCTTGAGTTTTAGGTCTTCTGTGTCCTGGCCGTGTTGGGGGGGATAGGGGATAGAGGGGAGGGGGAGAGACTATGGCTACGGTGTGTTGAGGAGGATGAGGATGAAGGGAGAGGGGGAGAGAGGAGATAAGGAGGGAGGAAGGAGAGGGAAAAATAGGGAGGGGGAATACGGAGAGGAGGGAGGGTTAATGAGCGGTGTGAGGGAGGAGGAAGGAGGGGGTTGAGGAAGGAGGAAGGGGGAGGAGGGGTAAGGAGGGAAGGGAGATAGGGAGGAGGAATGGGAGGAGGAGGGGAAGGAGGGGTTGAGGGGGGGAAGGGGGAAGGGAGGAAGGAAATGGGTAGAGGAGGAGGGAAGGAGGGGTTGAGGAAGGGGAAGGGAGGAGGGAGGAAGGGAGAGGAAGGAGGAATGGGTAGAGGAGGAGGGAAGGAGGGGTTGAGGGAAGGAAGGAGTGTTCAGTGTAATAAAGATAAACAAACAGACAGACAAGACAAGACAGACACGCACACACACACACACACACACACACACACACACACACACACACACACACACACACACACACACACACACACACCCATCCATATAATCCCTTAATAACGAACTATGACCAATCCGTTCAATACACGTCATAAAGATTCATTAAAAATCACTTCACAAGAGTTAACAAGCGTGAACTACCGACCAGACGAACTGTGGCCAATTGGGCTGTTAGCTGACCCAAGCGACTGTTGATGGTAACGAGGGTGACCTTTGGGTCGTATTTGATGGTAGCAGTAGTGGTGGTGGTAGTGGTAGTATTTTAGTAGTAGTAGTTTATTGCTACTACTACTACTGTTACTACTACTACTACTACCACTACCACTACTACTACCACCACCTAACAACTACCCCCTCACCCCTGGCCCACACACACACCCTAAAGAACACAACAACAAAAAGGCGAATCGTTTCTCTCTGTTGACAAAGGATGCATTTTCACACTCAGAACCACGAGAGTGTGTTGGGGGGGGGGAGGAGAGGGATAGAGAGGGTTGACAGGTGTTGAATGAGATGGAGAGGGTGGGGAGGGTGTGAGAGGGTGGGTTGGGGTGGGGTAGGGTGGGTTGGGGTGGTAGGGTGGGTTAAGTGATAGTTTGTGTGGGTCGCAAATATCTATCTATCTATCTATCTATCTATCTATCCTCAATCCCCCACCCCTCTTTCCATCCTTAAATGGATAACGCCCTTAACCTCCCCTGACATTAACCATTCTTCCCCACACCCTTACCTCCCTCTCCTCCTTCCATTCCCCCTCTTCACCCCCTCCTCTTAACAATACATAAATGAATTTAATGTTTTATATACTACATCAATAGAGGAAAAATACAACTCAGGGTATACACACCCCATACAGTGTGTATGTTGGGCGGGTAGTGGTGTGTGTATGTTGCTGGTAGTGGTGTATGTGTGTGTGTATATGTGTGTATTTTGGATGGGTAGTCGTGTGTGTGTGTGTGTGTGTATGGTGGTGTGTATGTGTGTATGTTGGGGTTAGTGGTGTGTATAATGAAAGGGTAGCGGTGAGTATATACCTATGTATACTGAATGGGTAGTAGTGTATATATGCATGTATGTATAATCAAATGTATACACAACATACACATCATTAAACATTATAAAAATACCTCTAAGATTTAAATAACCACAGTATCATCAATAACATATAAATAACATTACTCGAATAAATATCTTAAATAACCAATAAAGTTATTTTTAAGTTAATTCTCAAAGGTTAAAAAAAAAATTCCCGCGAAAATTATGACGTCATAGATTTCATTCATACGCAATATGTAAACAAAGAAAAGTAAACATTAGCGTAATATCAGCTGGTGTGGTGACGACTATGATGAATCAGTGACGTCAGTTTGTGGAGTTGTGACGTAGACTATACAGATGTGAAGTAAAACACACACACACACACACACACACACACACACACACACACACACACATTGAATTATTCATGGCTGTTCATCCACCCTGAATAAAAAAGGGTTCGTTTAATAATAAGCTTATGTTCGAATCTTTTGTGGCCATGTTCGAGCTTTTGTGGTCATGTTCGAACTTTTGTGGCCATGTTCGAACTTTTGTGGCCATGTTCGAACCTTTGTAGCCTTTTCGAGCATTTTGTGGCCATGTTCGAGCCTTTTGTGGCCATCTTCAAACGTTTTATAGCCATGTTCGAACCTTTTGTGGCCACGTTCAAACCTGTTATGGCCATCCTTGTTCGAACCTTTCAGGGCCATGTTAGAACCTAACCTAACCTATTAAAGGTCCTATTTAGGTAATGTTAGATATAAAATTTGAGGTGTTCTCTTTCTCTAAACTATCTCTAACTACCTCTAACTATCTCTAACTACCTCTAACCACCACTGACTATCTCTAACTATCTCTAACCAGCTTTGACTATCTAAACTATCTCAAACCACCTCTGACTATCTCTAACTATCTGTAAACTACCTCTAACTACCTTTATCTCTAACTATCTCTATATATCTCAAAAATCATCCTTCTGCGTTAACTCAAAAAAACATTACTGTTATTTTATGCATTTTCGGAGCGAGTTGTTACTATCGCTAAGGGTTGTTCAAATGCTAATAACCCCATTATACACGTCGTTAACAACCTCTAGTTAATGGTAGTTACAACACATTATTATAACGCTGATATAATTAATTAGTAAATATAACACAGAATCCAATTAATTTTTCCCTATATAGTCAATATAAATAAGAAATATAATAATAATAATAATAATAATAATAATAATAATAATAATAATAATAATAATAACAATAATAATAATAACAACAACAATAATACTACAACAATCGCTTCAACTACCACAACAACTACTACTACTACCATAACTATTACTGCTACCAACTACCACAGCTACTGCCACTCCTATATGCCGCAACAACAATCGTTAACAACTATTACTACAACAATCACCACTATCAACTACCACAACTACCTGCAGGATGGTGAAATCTGACGCAACATCAATTCTTCAACAACAACAACAATTATTACCTTCTACCACAATTACAACTACTAACATCTGCCGCAAAAGCAATCGCTAACAACCATTACACCAAAAACTACCACTAACCTCAACCACAACTACTAGCATCACGTTAGGAGTAAACTAGCACCTACACTACAACTACACCAACAACCACTAGCATCTACCACAACAACCGCTAACAATCGCTGACTATCCCACAGCTAACAACTACGCTAAACCACTTCACGGATGTCAAATAAAATGCGCTAACTATCCTTAACTACCATTTGAGTCATTTAAGTTATATCTAACAAGCCTCTAACAAGCTAACTACAATGTGGGCGGCAAACAAAGCACGCTAGCTATCCTTAACTATCTTATGGACCCTTAACAAATTGACAGTCATCACTAACAAGGTTCTAACAAGCCAATTATCGCAAAATATCGCCTGAATCACAACAAACCCGCTAATAGCTCTCTAACAAGCCTATTACCGCTAACTACCGCCTGAGTCACTAACAAGCCCGCTAACAGCTCTCTAACAAGGTCCTACCAAGTCTATTACCACTAACTACCGCCTGAATCATTAACAACCACGCTAACAGCTCTCTAACAAGGTCCTACCAAGTCTATTACCACTAACTACCGCCTGAATCATTAACAACCCCGCTAACAGCTCTCTAACTATCACTAACAAAGTCCTAACTAAAGAAATAGCGTATAAATACCCCTAGAGCTCACCCGGTAACTAGGCTAGCAACCCTACAAGCGCAAACAACCTCGCTAGCAACTTTACAATCTTTAATAAGCACGTTAACGACTGGTAACTATTCTCAAACTGTCACAACAAGCAATTTAACAACCCCGAACCCGTGAATAGCCTCGCTAACGAAATTACAACCTTTAACAAGCCTACTAACTGCGCGACAGCCCTTAACAAGTTTACTAACTACTCTACAACCACTAACAAGCTCAACTACTCTACAACAACTAACAAGCTCATTAACTACTATACAGCAACTAACAAGCTCATTAACTACTCTGCAACCACTAACAAGCTCATTAACTACTCTATAACTACTAACAAGCTCACTAACTGCACTACAACCCTTAACAAGCTTACTAACTATTCTATAACCACTAACAAGCTCATTAACTATTCTTTTACTACTAACAAGCTTACTAACTACTCTACAACCTTTAACTAGCTCACTAACTACTCTACAACCCTTAACAAGCTCATTAACTACTCTACAACCTCTAACAAGCTTATTAACTACTCTACAACCACCACAACACTGAGAGGAAGAAGGGTATATCGACCTATATAATTACCCGTGAAGAGCATTGAGAAGTTGGAGAGCGGGCCAGTTCTTGGTAGATAGTCAGGGGTGGAGCTCTTTAAGTCCAACATGGTCATTAGAGGTCACCCTAGTTCACCCTAGTTACGTACGAGGGCTGTTAGGGTCATTAGAGGTCACCCTAGTTACGTGTGAGGGTTGTTTGGCTCATTAGAGGTCACCCTAGTTACGTGTGAGAGTTGTTTGGCTCATTAGAGGTCACCCTAATTAAGCGAGAAGGTGTTTAAGGTTATCAGAATTCACCCTAAGGTCTAAAGGTGGTTTGAGTCACACTAATTCACCCTAAGAGACAATTAGGATCACACTAAGTCACACTAGGTCAGCAGGAACACAGCCCAGGTCACACTAATTTATCCTAAGTCAATTGGGGGTCACACTAACACAGTCTAGATTACCACGAGGGCACACTAGGTCACCCTAAGTCGAAGCAGTCATACTAGGTCACACTAAGTCACCCTATGTCAACTGGGAACACACTAGGTCGATGCAGGGTCACACTAATTCGCCCTAAATTAACTGGGGTCTACTAAGCCACGCTAAGTCACTACGTCAATTGGAAACGCACTGGATCGTCGCGGGGTCACACTAAGTTACCCTAAGTTAACTGGGGTCACACTAGGTCGACGCGGGTCACACTAAGTCAACTGGGAGTCACACTAGGTCGACGCAGGTCACACTAGGTCAGTTCTGTGGGAAGTATGACACCTCCATTGACCACGGGAGCCACTGATCACAACACCTCTTTGATGGCGTATAGCGGTAAACAAACACTAAAAAAACACTGAGTTAATGGCGCGTTGGAGCACACTGGACCACCGCTGGGAGCACACTGGAACACCGCTGGGAGCACACTGGAACACCTCAACAAGGATTCGGTTCACAGAAGGTCTCAAGAGGAGGGATTCGAAGCCGTGATGTGAGAGAGAAGAAATAAGTCAGAAATCCACCAAAATGGGATAATATTTGGGAAGAGGGTGTACAGTAAGTTAGCCCAGTCCTATATTGGTGTATGTCTCTCTGTCTCTCTTATCTCTCTCTCTCTTTTATCCGGTTTTAAAGGCGTATAACCGGTTCGGATGTGGCGGCTGAAGACCGGTTGTGCTGTGCTTGTGGGCGCGGCAGTGCGAGTGCTCAACTTTCCGCCATGGCAGCCAATATCAAGAGGTACCATCGAGGTTGCCGAAACAGAGAGAGATAGAGAGAGAGAGAGAGAGACAGTGAGAGAGAGAGAGGTAGAGAAAGAGAGAGAGAAACGATGCCGAAAACTTCCGTCGACATTGATTTTTCACCCCGATTTCATTCCCTTAGATACTAGCCACATTTCCTACACCTCGTTAGATTTAGACGATGGATATAATACTATTTTAATCTGTGGTTTAATCTGTATGGGGAAAAACGGTAAGAGAGGAGAAAACGGGAGAGATATCGGCGTATATAAACGGGACAACAGAGCACCTCCGGCATCTTCCGCGTTAGTGACTGGGCGGAGTTGTAGACTTCCGCAGCCAATAGAAACCAGGATTTGTGGTAGGGGGGAGGGGCCGAGACCCCCCCTAGTAGCACCCCTCTGAAATACTCCCCCTAACCCTCGACGACCCCCCTCCTCTCTCTGTCTGTCTGTCTCTCTGTCTGTCTGTCTGTCTGTCTGTCTGTCTCATTCAGTTACCAAATAAACATCCAGATTTTAGAAGATAACGAACCCCAGAGAGATAAGAGAGAGACAGAGAAAAAGAGACACTTTAGAGGGATAGATTCTCTCTCTATTCTCTCTCTTTCTCTCTCTCAACTCTCTCTCAGCAAGGATATATCGACAAATAGCGCCGAGTTGAACCTTACAGACCATGAGAACTGCCACTGAATTATTGTGAATGTTGGAGAACCACTCACACTGTTGGTGATGGTGGTGTTGGAGGTCCTTAACTGTGGTGGTGTTGGAGGTCCTTAACTGTGGTGGTGTTGGAGGTCCTTAACTGTGGTGGTGGTGGTGTTGGAGGTTCTTAACTGTTGGTGGTGGTGGTGTTGGAGGTTCTTAAATGTGGTGGTGGTGTTGGAGGTCCTTAACTGTAGTGGTGTTGGAGGTCCTTAACTGTAGTGGTGGTGGTGTTAAGGTTCTTAACTGTTGGTGGTGGTGGTGTTGGAGGTTCTTAAATGTGGTGAGTGGTGGTGTTGGAGGTCACTTAACTGTGGTGGTGTTGGAGGTCATAACTGTGGTGGTGTTGGAGGCCCTTAACTGTGGTGGTGTTGGAGGTCATAACTGGCGGTGGTGGTGGTGATGTTGGAGTCCTTAACTGTGGTAGTGGTGGTCGTGTTGGAGGCCCTTAACTGTGGTGGTGTTGGAGTCCTTAACTGTGAGTGGTGGTAGTGGTGGTGGTGGTGTTGGAGGTTCTTAACTGTGGTGGTGGTGTTGGAGGTCTGTAACTGTGGTGGCGGTGTTGGAGGTCTCTTAACTGTGGTGGTGGTGTTGGAGGTCCTTAACTGTGGTGGTGGTGGTGGTGTTGGAGGTTCTTAACTGTGGTGGTGGTGTTGGAGGTTATATGCTTTGTGGTGGTGGTGTTGGAGGTCCTTAACTGTAATTAGTGGTGTTGGGTTCATAACTGTGGTGTGAGTAAGTGTCGTAGGTTCTGCTGTGGTGGTAGTGGTGGTGTTGGAGGTCCTTAACTGTGGTGAGTGGTGTTGGAGGTCCTTAGCACTGTGGTGGTGGTGGTGTTGGAGGTCCTTAACTGTGGTGGTGGTGTTGTAGGTTCTTAACTGTGGTGGTAGTGGTGGTGTTGGAGGTCCTTAACTGTGGTGGTGGTGTTGGAGGTTCTTAACTGTGGTGGTGGTGGTGTTGGAGGTCCTTAACTGTGGCAGTGGTGGTGTTGGAGGTCCTTAACTGTGGTGGTGGTGTTGGAGGTTCTTAACTGTGGTGGTGGTGGTGTTGGAGGTCCTTAACTGTGGTGGTGGTGTTGGAGGTTCTTAACTGTGGTGGTGGTGGTGTTGGAGGTCCTTAACTGCGGTTTATGCTTGGTGAGTGGACTGTTTATGTTTACTATGTGATTTATGCTTGGTGAGTGGACTGTTTATGTCTGGTTTTATGCTTATTGAGTGGTTTGTTTATGTCTGTTACGTGTTACTTAAAATACATCGAATATTGAGTCCCAATTTTAAGGATCATCTCTTTTAGGTATTATTTTATGTATAAATTTAAGGGAACAATTAAGAAACGTCCCATTTAAAGATTTTAAGGAATCGATTTAAGACACCGTTTAGGAAGGTGTCGTTAAAGTAAATCGAAGTCAAGAGGACCGGATCGTTTAAGTCTCACCCCTCACCCTCCCTTACCTCACCCCTCACCTCATCTCCCTTCAACCCCCCCCCTTTACCAGTTGCTTTAAGGGGATAATGAGGCTCTTTTCTCTCCCCTTATACACCCATTAACCCCTACACCATATGATATGAGAGAGAGAGTACTTCTATTAAAAATGGTTTCTATCTATATTAGAGTGAGTCAGACAGCCGTAGAGTGAGTCAGTTGCCCATAGAGAGAGTCAGGTACCCGTAGAGTTTGAGTCAGGTGCCCCGTAGAATGAGTCAGGTGGCTGGAGAAAGAGTCAAGTAGCGTCCATCACCTAATTGGGACAGCTTAATCGGGACGGCGGCCATGGACCCAAAAATTCAGAAGTTCCACTCAAGTCTTCAACCATTTGGCACGGTTCCAATAATGTGTGAGGAGGAGAGGATACTGGGAAGGTCCTAAGTTCAATTTTCCTCCTAACTGGTGATGTGAGAACGTATCTAACTGACTCACTTAAGCTACCACACAAAGATGGATTCTCAAAGGTTCCTAAGTTCAATTTTCCTCCTAACTGGTGATGTGAGAACGTATCTAACTGACTCACTTAAGCTACCACACAAAGATGGATTCTCAAAGGTTCCTAAGTTCAATTTTCCTCCTAACTGGTGATGTGAGAACGTATCTAACTGACTCACTTAAGCTACCACACAAAGATGGATTCTCAAAGGTTCCTAAGTTCAATTTTCCTCCTAACTGGTGATGTGAGAACGTATCTAACTGACTCACTTAAGCTACCACACAAAGATGGATTCTCAAAGGTTCCTAAGTTCAATTGTCCTCCTAACTGGTGATGTGAGAACGTATCTAACTGACTCACTTAAGCTACCACACAAAGATGGATTCTCAAGGGTTCCTAAGTTCAATTTTCCTCCTAACTGGTGATGTGAGAACGTATCTAACTGACTCACTTAAGCTACCACACAAAGTTAAAAAGTCAAACTGAACTTAGGAACCTTCGAGAACTCTTTACCATTAAACTGGCCACAAGTCACCCACTAAAGACATCTTGCCACACACTTTAAAAACCAATCACCCGAAGACATCTCAACCTAATTTACATACCGACCGAAGACATCTTTAAATAGTTACCTTAGACGATTCACTTAAACACGACATCCAGTAGGTTAATTAACACTCATTTTGTCTTAACTGACATATAACTGGAGTGATTTAATTGTTATTGAGTAAATGAAATAACATAGTCTGTTTTGATGATTCTTGGTAGTAAATAAATAACATAGGTGTTTTTGTGAAAGGAATTGGGAGTATTTTGATACTAATTTGCATATACAGGTGAGATAATTAGTAGGTATAGGTAAAGTAATTAGTATAAAAGGTATAAACACCGCCCCTTACACCCCTTTCTCCTCCTTACCTCACCCCTCATCCTCTCCTTATCTCACCCCAACACCCTCCTTTCCTCATCCCCACTCTTCCCACTCCAACCTTCACCCCCTCCCCATCCCTCTCTCACACACCACTCTTCTCTCACCCTCACCCCTCTCTCCCCCTCACCCCACCCCTCCCCACCTCCTCACCCCACCACAAGCGTTCAACTCCACTTAAATGAGGAAAAATTAAAACCCTAAGGAAAAGAACGCCCTGCCCTCACCTTTCTTCCTCATGGTTCAGAGTGAGGAGGAGATTTGAGGACGTTAGCGTAAGTGGTGAGGAAAATGAATGAACATGAGTGAGGAGGAAACAGGGAGGATGGAGAGTAGTCACCCAGTGGCTCAGCCTTCACCTGAGAAATTGGTGTTATGAATATGTTGCTGGTGAGTGGTGTGGAGGGGGGGGGGGTTGTTGGTGGTAATAGTGGTAGTAGTGGTAATTGTGATTGTGATGGTGATCGTGGTTTAATAATAATAATAATAATAACAATAATAACAATGATAATAATAATAATAATAATAATAACAGTAGCAGTAGTAGTAGTAGTAGTAGTAGTACCTAACAACAACAGCAATAACAGTTCAGGCTATGGAATCAAATTCAGTATTGGGATCAAAATATTCCTTAACAAAATTATCAACAACAATGCAGGGATCCTAGACAGATCACTGCATGGCCACCTTCCCTCGACAAGGCCACCTCTAGTGAGTGGCCATTAGGGAAATAAAGTAAAATAAGGTAGGTAAAGGTAAATAACAACAACAATAACATCAACAACGACCCATAACCCACCACCTCCAATTTCCCCACCTTTCACCCACCTCTCCCCCCACCAAGATGATAAATTTCCCTAGAAGGAACTTGAAGAACCCGAACATTTTCCCCGCCACTGAGAACCCAAGAGCCCTAGTTTTCCCGCCCTTTTTTCCCGCGTTTCCCCGCGCTTCGTCGGTTTCCCGCGTTTTTCCTCTTCAACTCTCCTGGTGGCGCGCCCTTCCCTCCGCCCGCTCGTCTGCCTCCCGATCCCTTCCATTGACTATGGCTTCGGCGCCTGCATTGTCTCCGGTCGCGGTTTTGGGGTTAGTTAGACCAATGAATATATGTTGGCGAAGTCACTAGTCAACACGAGGATACGAACATAGTGGCATACCGCCTTGACTACGACTGTTAATGCAGGTATAATGAGGATGATGATTTAATATATTTAGTATGATGATTGAATCCCTTGAGTTAAACCATCATCCCAGAGGATTAAACCACCATCTACAAGAGGGTTTAACCATCATCTTCAAAGGGTTAAACCATCATCCCCAAAGGGTTAAACCGTCATCCCCAAAGGGTTAAACCATCATCCCCAAAGGGTTAAACCGTCATCCCCAAAGGGTTAAACCGTCATC